ACTTGCCAAATCGAACGGTATAAAAACAAAACAACTGGTGCTTTGAGCGCTGCAGTCTTGAACCGTCTTTTGTGTCTGTGCGCTTTTCTTTTCTGGGGCTGCAGCCAAGTCTTTTGTGTCTGTGTCTTTCTGTGTTCCTCCCCCGTCCTGCAATCGGGCCGTGACACTGGGGCCGCCGCGCAGAGGACTGGACCTTCCTGTGCACGGAAGGTGAGCCAGCACAGACAGAATTGGGGCTGGGGCCACGGGCCACGGCCCGTCACGGGACAGGAGGGAGAGACTGAGTGCAGGACACTCCCCAGGAGGGCGTGGGGTCCGGGAGGGCGTGGGGTCCGGGAGAGTGTGCAGGCTGACCCGGGTGACCCGGCAGAGGGCCCAGGGGCAGAGCAGCCCGCAGCTGGGACTAGTGTCCTGCTGCCACCAGAAGCCGCCAGGGAGGGAGAGAAAGGAACCCGGGTGTGACCAGCCGGGCTGGGCACAGCCGGGTGGGCAGGCGGGAGCAGGGCTCTGTCCGAGCACAGGCGCTTCCGGCCCTGCCCGGGATCCGTGGGGTCAGCCGCCCTCTCCCTTCCGCCCAGTTCAGAGGCTTCCGGTGGGAGCCGGAGACCCACCTTCCCCGACGTGTCTCTGTGATCGCAGAGGCCGCTGCTCTGCGATTTCCCTCCTGACGCCGTTTCTTGGGGCTGTAAGATCTCCTTGGCTCACAATTTCACATCTCATTTTCTCCTTCCGTAAGTAACAGAATTATGACTTCATAAATTTTATCTGTACTGAAGCTCAGCATTATTGCCTTGCCAGGGAGGTTAAAAAAAAAAACACAAAAAAACCTGACTCTTGCAAACAGCTCCGAATCCATCACTTTTGCCTCTTCCCGGCCCCGGAGGCTCACGTTGAAGACGAACGTCTGCTCTTTGGGAAGCGTTTTCACGAAGTGTCATCCTCGCGTCCCAGACGCCCCGGAGTGACGTGGCCGCATCTCGGGGAGGCCCTGGGCTGCTTTTCCTGCTGCTCTAAGTTTTTTTTTTATTTCGGCATATTATGGGGGTACAGATTTTAAGGTTTCAATATCTAAGTGTTTTATTTGGAAACTTCCAAGTCCGGCAAAGACCAGTAACTCCTCCACTTACCATCCCAACAAGTCGATTTCCATAATCGATGGTTAGAATTTCACTCATTCTAAGCTTAATATCAAAGAGCAAAGATCGTAATAAATATATCAGGGAGAGACGTTTTCAGATTATTTCGGCTTACAAATAGTTAACAGAAACTCGGGAGACAGGCACCGATTCACGTCAGTCATGTACGAAGCCACTCGAAATATTACTCAATCTCGTAAAGCCGCTCCTTGTAGCCACTGGACTTTCTTTTCTTTTTTCCCCCCAATGACGACAGCTGAAAAGGTAATTTCCTATGTCTCGTTAGTAAGCGTGTTGGCACTTGTACTTCCATTTTCTCATTTGGGAAAATACAATACTCAGAATCTCTTTTCGCCTTTCATCGATATTAATCACGTTTCTTTGAACCAAAATCCTGAGTCCTCTTCGCTGAGGTCACCGGGGCCAGGGGTGACCTCGTGTCCCCAGTGCCACGTGGAAACTGCAGCTGCCCGTCCCTGCCGGTGAAGTCCGTCATTTATAATCGCCCACCCCTGGCAAGAACGACCGTGGACATGAACAAAACGGACAGCGATAAACAGATGGGGACTCCGGGCGGCCTTCTTAAGGCGCAGAGAAAGCCTGAACCTCAGCGAGGGTTCGAGAGGGCGTAGCCGGGCAGTGGTGCCCCGGGCGAGGTCCCTCATGCAAAGCAGCTGCCGCCCTCCCGCCATGGACCTTCTGCAAGTTCCCTGGCGCGGCTCCCTCCCACCAGCTCCGCCCTCCAGGCAGAGCCGGCTCCCCTCTCCGCCGCCGAGCCTCCTCTGCCGCCTTCCCGTCTGCGGAATCAGTCGCTCTTCGCCGGGAAGCCACCGTGGATGTCCCGGGACAGACATCCGGGCTGCCCACCAGCCCCAGCCCAGGAGACCTCCGTAGGCCGCCGATCACCCAAACGTCTCAACGGGCCACGTTTCTTTTGGTGCTTTTGAAATTTTAATTCAAAAACATCACATTTTAAACAGGCACTGTGATCTAGATAACCCTGCCCCGAAAGCTTGCGATCCCTTACTCTGGAACACTCGTGTCCGAGCGCTGGTGAGAGCCGCCGCGGCCGGCCGAGAGTCCCCTGTGACTTGAGCTCCCCGGTGGCTGGTGGAGACTGAAGCCCGTGGCGCCGTGCCTGGGCTCGCCTCCACTCCTGCCACTGCTCGCCGCGGCCACGTGGACCCGGCGCTGTCCCTTCACTGTTCCCGGCCCGAGGCTGGGCTCTCGGGGCAACAGTGGCTGATCCCGCGTGGCGTGGCTCCCGTGGCCCCGTGGCTGTGCCCCGGCAGGCGTGTGGGCCTGGGGTGTGTCGGCCGAGAGCCTGCTGCAGCCCCCCCACCCTCACGTGAAGGGGTGGGACGAGAGCGGCCTTCCTCCCTCCCCAGGGGGTCTCGGCCGTGGCACGGAAGAGGGGCGGGCCACGGCCCCACCGGCAGACCCTGGAGAAGCCATGACGGTGCCACGGGGCTGTGGCCTGAATGCTCGTGTCCCCCAGGTCCACAGGCTCAAGTCCTCCCCACAGCCTGGGGCCCTTGGAGGATGTCCGTGAGGGCGGGGCCCTCCCACATGGGATCGGTGTCCTTAGAAGACGCCCGGAGAGCCCCGCCACGTGAGGACACGGTGAGGAGACACCTTCTCAGCCAGGAGACCCCTCGCCAGACCCGAACCCGCCGGCGTCCTGATCGTGGACCTGGAGCCTCCAGAACTGAGGGACGCGTTTCTGTTCACAAGCCCCCGGGCCACGGTGTTTTGTTACAGCAGCACGACGCTCAGGAGACAGGCTGGGGGCAAGAAACCGGCCTCGTGTGTAAGGAGTGCAGTTCCTACCCCGGCTCGCATAAAGGCTGCCTGTGCTCCGGCTGTCGTGATCAGATCCTCCAGAAGGTTTCCAGCCTGAAGGAGACTGAACGTCCAGACCCTGGATGGCTCCGTCCAGGGCCACCCTGTGCTGCTTGGTTAGGAGAAAACAAAAAGATCACTGTTGGGGCTCAGAGAGCGACACCCCAAAGCCTGGTGCTTGGAGGTACAGGGGCCTCAGAGTCAAGGCGGCTAACCTGGCCTGGCTGCCTCGGGGGTGTGTGTGTGGGGGGTCTCTCTGGGACGTCCTGACTGAGGAAGCTGCTCTACTCTCCCACAGAAAGGCGGCTGTCTCAGGACCCCTCCCCGGATCAGCCCAGGAAAGAGAAGACAGCGTCGTGGCCACGCCCAGGCAGCTCCCGAGAGACGACCTTTGTCCCCGCGAACCTTTATGAGCACCGGGCCTGTGGGGACCCCGTTCCTGCCCCTCAGAAGAGGGCACTTGAGCCCTGACCATCCGGCCCCCCTTAGAGTATTCTGGGATAACGAAATAGGATCCGTTTTCCCAGATAAGTTTTAAAATTTTCAAAAGACAGAGACAAAACAAAAACTGCCCATGAGGGAGTTGACCGACTTTGCCTTGTATCAGTGACCTTTCCAAAAATTTTGCAAGAAATCCACATTTGCCAAATGTTTTCTAAAAACTCATTTCTTTAAAAAAAAGGCCCCTGCATATATCCTGCAGTAGACGTGGTAGGAGAGTTCTCATGTTGTATGACTTCTGTGCACGCATGTGCACCTAATAAATTCGTCACACTTTTCTCTTGTCAACCTGCTTTTGCTACAGAGGTGCCAACCACGGCCCTTTATGATAGGGAGCAATGGGGCCCCCACCCCTAGAGCACGGATGAACTCGGGGGCCCCTGTGCCTGGCCCTCAGCCACCCAGCTCGCCACGGGCACAGGGACATGCGAAGCACGCCAAGCGGGTGGGTGCCATTCTATTGCACTTAACAAGTAGTGACGGAGCCTTGTTTTCTTGAAGCCAACAAAGAGCGGACAGAAGTTGACTCTGAACTTTCACACATCCTGTGACGTGGCGCTGGGATTAATGTCATCGCAGAAGATGCATGGCAAGTGTCGGTGACCTGTCTCCAAGCAGTATGTGTCCAAGCTTCTCATACCGTTCAACGTTATTTTTTTTAAAATATGAAATGTATGCTCTAGTTTGCATTTAGTTTATATTAAAACTGGTTTGCTGATGACACATTTATGCATAAAATATAAAAGAATCAATGCCCATGGACAGTAGAGTGGCCCCTCTGCAGTGAATTTGGAAGTTATCTTTGAAGCCCTTTTAATGAACAAAGCAATTTGCTCTCAATATTATACACAAATCATCATATCCTGAATGCAGTTCATAAAAGAACAAAGCAATTTGCTCTCAATGTTAGACACAAATCATCATATCCTAAATGCAGTTCATAAAAGTCTTCTTTTAAATTTTTATTTTTAAAATCAAAATCTTAAAATATTAATTTAAAAATTAAATTAATTTTAAAATTAAGACCTTAAAATATTAATTTCCTGCTAATATTTACTAAGAAACTTATGATTTTTAGTAGAGCCAGATAATTTGTTTCGATGATCACAATTTTAGGATGCAAAAGTCTTACTAGAAAAACATACCGCGGGTTGAGCCTCCCAAATCTGAAAGTCTGAAATCCAAAAACGCTCCAAAATCCCACACTTTGAGCTCTGAGTTCAAAGGAAATGCTTTCCTTTGAGATGCCCAGCTTGTAAGTATAATGCAAATACTCTAAAAAACCTGAAAAGAATCTGAAGCCCAAACCAGTTCTGGCCCCAGACGTTTCGGACGAGGGACTGAGGGACACTCCACCCGTGCGGGCTCCTTTGTCACCTCTGCCGCCTGACTGTCGGGGAGGGCTCACGCTCCAGGACGTGGCTCTAATTCCGAAGACGCGTGGGAGGAACGGGCATTTCTCCGGCTGCCCACGTGGTCCCACTCTCGAGGGGCCGGGCGGCAGGGCGGACTGTCTCCTACCTTCGTTTCAATTTGTCTGGTGTCCAGGTTCTGAAATAGCAGCTTCATTCGAGTTTTCCCGTCATCCGAGGACCCCTTAAGTTGAGAGAACTTAAATCTCCAGAGCACGTTCTGTAAAGAAATGAAATTAGTGACTTGTAGACAAAAGATCGTTTAGTTAATCAGCACCTATCACTACCCTGTTTCCCTGAAAACAAGACCTGCCCATAAAATGAGCCCTAGCAGGATTCCTACGCATTTGTGCAATAGAAGCCCCACCCTGAAAATAAGCCCTGGTGACGGGCGTGGCTACACAGCGCATCTGCACAACCCATGCATGTCGTCGCGGAGTGGGAAAGGAGAGGAGCAGCCCTTCTCATCTGCCCCGTGAGAGCTCTATGGCTCGACATGAGAGATTGGGGCCGATGGTTCTGAAGGAAATAGAGTCGCAAGAAATTCAGGATGGAATTCGGGGTTCTGGAGAGTGATGATGATGTTCCAGAAGAAGACAACTTCACTATATTTGAATCAATGTAGATTGTTGTGCCGTACTTAAAAAACATAACACATCCCTTGAAAATAAGCCCTAGTGTGTCTTCTTGAGGGAAAATAAATATAAGACCCTGCCTTATTTTCAGGGAAACATGGTACCTTAAACAGCCTATTCGAATCAACACAGACATTTGCTGGATTTTCTCATCTGCCTTTAGCCTGTGACAACACGTCAGGGCCTCTGCCCTCTCACTCTGCCACCTGCACAGAGGGACCTCGGGCCCCCCTGGCTCTCTTCTGTCCCCAGCCCAGCCCTCATGAGCCGTCCCTGGTGTCCCTGCGACTGTCTTAACACATCAGTGCCACGTCTTCAATCCCACCTCTGCCCTACGGCCCTCTCAGGTTTTCTCACGGGGTTCCCTGTACGTCCCTAAAAGCATCCTACGATCATTGCTCCTTTTTCTGGTTGGAGAACTTTTAAACATCCACTGCAAGGCTCAGTTCTTCCTGTAGGCACATAGCGGAAAGTGCGGACGAAATGAAAACCTCTAGTCCTGACCCATACCCCCGTCCACGGCTACGTGCAAGTTGCTGAACCTTGGTTTCTCACAAACCCACTTGAAAAATGTAGATAATACTACCTTTAATATTGCAAAAGTTACTTACTGTTTGCACTTTAGAGATGAAATGTGCTCTATAAATTCTTAATAAAAAAGGCTGCAGCAAATAGAAACGTCTCTTATAAAGGACCTTATAAAGGCTGTCTCTTATAAAGGATCGTTTTTAATTATGGACACTTCATTATGACAAACCTTTGTCCTCCCAGAAAAATCCCAATAGGAAACAGCAGTAACTTCTTTTAGCAAACTGTACATTCCATTTCTATTAAAAATGTTTATTTTGAAGCAATGGACATACTTTTCTCTGCATGTCAGGGCAGGCAAGGAGGCCGCAAGAACGGGGTGTGGGGGGTGTTGCTGGGCCCCTGCCTGCCCATCCGAGAACCCCGTCTTGTTGCTGCCCGGCGCTGACTGCCTGGCTCGTGGTTCTCTCCCACCAACCTGGGAGCTGAGTTGACTCTCTGCACTTCCTGCCAAGGTGTCAAACACAGGGTTCCTATGGAGTCGGGGACATTCGGGACTCTGCAGGGCCTTAGGGGACAACCACCCCGGCCTCCCTGTGCACAGGGAGGAATCTGAGCCCAGCCCCGGGGCAGAGTCCAGGCGCCCGGTGCGTGGAGGATTGGAAATGTCAGCGTCTGTCCACGCGAGGGCGTCCGGAACGCGCCCTCAGTCGCCCCTGCCTGCGGTTCTGGGCTCCAGAGGTGAAGCGCATCTGTGAATTCTTGTTACTAGCAGAAAAGAGCGTGTGTGAGCCCCTGGGACGTTGAAGTAGCCGAGGAAACACCCAGCATGGCCGGCCTGGGGCAGCCTCCCCAAAGTCGCTCCGCCCGCCCCGCTGCCCTCCAGATCCATGAGCGAGTCCACCCCCGGCATCGCCCAGCGCGTCTCCGGGGGCCGGGGAAGGCGGCTGTGGTTTCAGCCGCTTAGACTCAGCTGAATCTCGTCTGCCTTCAGCGTGAGCTGTTATCGAGCCTTCACGTGGGGAGCTTGTGGTCAGAGGCAGGTGTGGTCAGGAGGCACAGAAATCTCAGAAGACAGGCTTTCCCCTGATTGCTCACAGAGTAAGCCACGCCCAGACGAGGGAAGAGCCCTGAGCGGGACCAGGGCGCCGTTCGCCCACCTGGTGACCTCAGGGCCGACGGTGCGGCCTGGGTGCCGGACGGCACCGGGAATCCCTTCTTAGCATGAAACACCTGTGCAAGTATGTCTCGTCACTGTGACGGACGCCCCGTGCACCTGTGGAGAAAAATCTAACCCGCCGTTCTGCTTCTGTAAACTCCGCTTGCTCAACCCTATTCCCTCCCCCGCTGGCGCCGGCGCCACTCTGTAACTCCCCGAAAACCGCTTGCCGTTAGTCCTTGGAGTTTATTGACCAAGATTAAAGAGAGAGATAGATAATTTGTTTCGATGATCACAATTTTAGGAATGCAAAAGTTTACTAGACAAAACATCCCGCGGTTGAGCCCTCCCAAATCTGAAAGTCTGAAATCCAAAAACGCTCAAATAATTTGAAGCTCTGAGTTCAAAGGAAATGCTATTCCTTTGAATGCCCAGCTTGTAAGTATAATTAAATACTCTAAAAAACTGAAATAGAATCTGAAGCCAACAGTTCGGCCCCAGACCTTTCGACAGGGACTGAGGGAACACTCCACCCGTGCGGGCTCCTTTGTCACCCTGCCGCCCTGACGTCGGGGAGGTTCACGCTCCAGGACGTGGCTTAATCCAAGACCTGGAGAAACGGGAAATTTTCCCGCTGCCCACGTGGTCCCACTTTGAGAGGGGCTGGCGCAGGGCGGACGTGTCTCCTACACTTCGTTTCAATTTGTCTGTGTCCAGGTTCTGAAATAGCAGCTCATTCTC